AAAGAGTCACTAACAGGTATGGGATTCAAAAGATAGGATAGAGTGTTCAGAATAGGTGTGGGCATAACAGTTAGAAAGGTGTCATGAAGATATGGGATAATGCTCTTTCTAATATTAAAGTCGGTACGAGGAAAGTTGAGATAAGGCCACTCAAGAAAGACACTCTCTCTAAAGTGTAGATCTAATGGCTCAACCTTTGAAATATACTCTAATAAAACAAAAGGAGTCTCATTTTTCCAATCAGGCTCAACGTTATTCAAATTCAACTTATTGTCTTCTGAATTCATATGAATATCCTCAATAGGATCAGGTTTAAGTATAACGCTAAGGTTGAGAGATTCGGGATTAGTTAAATCGGGATTCAAATCAGGTAGTAAATTCAATTGAACCACTTCCGACTCGAGATTATTACCATCAAAATTATCCAAAGTCAACTTAGTAGGTGATACAACTAAATCAGGATCTTCCGAATTTAAATTCAACATGTTCAAGGTCAGATTGGCTTCTTTCGAGATCACATTACTATCGTCCAGGCAGAATTTATCGAAAGGGATATCCTTGAGGAGATTAGGAGTCGGGTGGACTGAGGTATCGAGGTTTAAAGGTTCCAGGTCTCCTAAATCAGGGTTCAAGTCATGCAGGGAATCTGACTCACTTACTTCAGTTTCATCCTCAAAGAAGTCCTTATTGTCAGTGATATCATTAGTGTCCACGAAATGGACGTACTCAGTTTCAGGTTTATGGGACTTTTTCCTAGCACTATAGTTTGTGACTGAAAATACACTTGCAGGGTTAAGGACTGGGGAGTTTCAAAATTGACATTGAATTTAAAGGTGGTCAAATCATCCACGAGGTGAGGTAAATCAGGAGTCACCGCGCAACGAGGATGAGTGTTCAGATAAAGTTGGTTGGGATGGCTAGGAGTAGGCCTAAGTGGGGAGTCACGTGGGACCGATCCAACAGAAGACCCAATAAAGGGTCGGCCATCAAGATTAGATGAAGACCTACAGGGTGGGACAGCAACCCTGATGTTACTAATGGGTGAGTGCTGTTCTAGATAACGGTCACTAGGGGTAAGGGTCTTGAAAGTGCAACACCCAAAGGTTTGATGAACAAGGGGTGACTTAAACTCAAATGGTTGGTCACTGGTAGAGGGTCACTATTTTAAATTAAGTTCTCGCCTCATGTATTTCCAATTATAAGTAGGGTACTCACCGCGAGACTCTTCATGATCTTCCAACCTCATCCAAAATTGAAGAGCCCGACCTTTTAGGTGAGACTTAGCGATGCTAACCTAGTGGGACTCAGGGATATGACATGATTCAAAATAGTCCTCTAGTTGTCTAACCCATTCCCTAAAGTAGTAAGGGTCCGATGAACCATCAAAGGTGGGTAGACGGTAAGGTGACTCTAAGTGAGGTCGTGGAGGCTCAGGCTCAGGCCTAGGTTGATAAGTCGAGTGAGGCATCTTCCGACTAGCAGGATTGATCGAATGAGGCACGTACTTAGAGTGGGGAGAGTCAACAGGTTTCTCCGTCATAATTCTAGTCATAGAGCCCACTAGGTTAAGGATGTCATCTAACTTCTTTTGAAGTCTTATCGGGTCCATTGGGAAAGCGCTTGGAAACACTTAGGGATGAATCTAGATAGGGGACAACACCTAAAGCGAAGCTAGACTCTCCAAATTGTCACTAGAAGGTGCACTAAAGATGTGGACAGCAAACCCCATTAGTGGACAAAATAGTCTGGTGACTAGGAAGGGTACCGGGTCAAGGGCAGCACCTAAACGCTAAGGAAATATGCTCTTAAAGCTTCTAAATGATGCTGAAATGAACAAGACAGCAAACCACAGCAAAGATCTAAGTTGTCTAAGTGTTTTGGAGGGCTTCTAGAATGCGTACAGCACTTAAACACAATCCCAGACTCACCTATATGTCACTAACAGGTGCAGGAAAAACGTGGACAGCAACCTATAAAATTTGTTTAAGCAACCTAAGCAAGTAGGGATATTGCTGTGACAAGGGTAACACTTAAACACTGAAGTAGGCTTGCTTAAAATGAAGAAAATGGTGCAGGAAATTACTGGGCAGCAGGGAAAACAGTGAACTAAAGTTAATTAAACGATGTTGTGCATGCAAACAAGCACATGGTTGGTTAGGTAGACTCCTAGGATGTTTTCTAGCACATGTAATGCATGCTAGCCATGCTCTAATACCAAATATGATGTGAAACCATGCAAAGAAACAAGAATTGCTACAGGATTTTAATATAAGATTATTAAAATTTTGCTAATAATAGATTTAGTGCTTACCCAAGTTAGGTTTTCGGAATTATCAATTAGAGACTATGCAAAGCATGTAATTAAAACTAGATTAACAGGATGCTATCAAGTTAACAACAGAAAAAAAAAAAAAATAGAGAGAGTAATTGTTATGGCAAACACAATAATCCACAGTTAATAAATAGAACTCTTCACCTTGGGTCGCTCACTCATGCTCTTGATGGTGGGGCTTTAACGGAGAAAGATTGAGAGCAAACCAAGCAATGCCACTAAGAGAAAAATGGTGCCCAAAGTCTAGTCCGTTGGGGAAGTAGCCGGCGACGGGAATTCCACGAGATGACTAAGACAGCCACCATGAGCTTTCGCACCACAGAATAGCCAAGACAAGGTGCAGATCTTTAAGACAGCTGCAGTTTTTGATCTGGACAGATTCTGGACATCAATTGGAACCTTTCGGATGAAGGTGTGGTGTGGTGCTTGGCTGGAATTCTGGGACAGCAGGGAAAAACTGAAGGAATTTCCCGACAGTGACCTGGGAAAGTCTGTACGGCAACTAGTAGAGGCCGGGAGTCTTGGTAAGCCACTAGGGGCCTTCCGGACGGTCAAAACGGCAGGGTTAGCTGGCTGAATTCTGGACAGCACGCTCCAGTGGGAGGGAAATAAGGTAGCTGCTGGGTAAAAAAGGGAAGGAAGATCAGGTTTGAGGGAAAAGAGGGGGGAGTTAATTCTAGGTTTGGATTTGAATTGGAGGGAAATTGATTCAGATTTTCAGAACTTAATTTCAATTCCAACGGGTAGAGATAATTGGGAGGATTGATGGTTAATTGGAGGAGGCATTAAATGTTGCTTAGGTGGCAAAGTGGAGAGAGAGAGAGGGGGCCGGCCCTATGGGGGATTCAAATTTGTGTCTAGGTTCAATGTAAGTGGGGCCCAATTGATTGCATACATAATTAAATCAAATTTTGAATTAAATTCAGATTTGGTTAGATATGAAGAGTTTCCCAATTGGGTTTTGTCATTTAAGGAGGGATTCAAAATTCAAATTTCAAATTGAATTTCAAAATTCAAATATGAAACTTCCTAAATGACAAAGGAACGAATTAGGAAAGTATTGAAAGCCTATTTGAATTTGAAACTCGATTCCAAGGATGAATTTTGGGATGGCTGGCGGGTGGGGTTCCATGAGTGGCCGATGGCTTCGGACATGGGGTTCGGCGGGCGGTGGAGGAAGTGGGGCCGGACAGTAGGGGGCCGGACAGTAGGTGGTGGGGCGGGATCTAGGGGCTAACAAAAGGGGGAGGGGCGGGTGGCTGGCCGGCTATGTGGTGGCTGGTTGGGGAGCCGACGGTTATGGGAGAAAGAAAAGAATTAGAAGAGGAAGAAGATAGGAACCAAGAGCTCTCACAAAGAGGGATGTTGGATACTTCGATTGAGCCTCTCCTAGGCTTCACCACTCACTCTAGAACTCACAAAGAGATCCAAAACAAAAATCTGAAATTTCATATTAATCATCATCCTCAAATACAATAGAAATGACCTATATATAGGTCTCACCAAAAAAAAAAAAAAGAGACAAAGACTAAATTGCCCTCGGGGCTACAACATCAAATGATCACCCATAAGGGTAAAACAGTAAAAACTGAAAATAAAATAAATTACTACATAAATGACTAAAAAAATATAAGCTCTTGATCGTAGTCGTCGATCTCCGGTGTCTCCAATGGTACACGTGTCGAAATCTCTGACGATGTCCTCATCACAAGTAAAATAACCCCAAGGGACGCAACCCTTCAGAAAAAAGAGAAAAAAATCATCAAGTCTGTCTTGCAGCACTGCGATGCCCATTTGGGGCGCTGAAGCGCTCAAGCCTTTGTCTTGCACCGTTGCAGCGCCGTATCTATACCGCTGCGACGCTCTGCTCTTGGTCGTTCAACATTGGGGCACTCGGGAACACAGTGTAGGGCGCTTGGATATATGCACCCGAACCCAAGAATGGGGTAAACCTCCCCAACCCCCTAGCGAACACAACAAGCTTTGAGGTGCGAGATAACATAACAACCAGATTAATCAACACAATCAGATTTCACACATAACAGTTTATGCCCAATAATTAAATCTAGTTGTATATCACCCGGAAGTCCGGAATAGATTTGGGTTTCAAATTTGACAGCTTAATAAAACCAACTTTTCTTATTTAAATTCTTGTTAATAAAATTTCAAGACTATACTATGGCATAACCATGGCTTTTGAAAGTCTGATGTTTCTCTCTTCTCAATCTTTCAACAAAAGCTTCTACAATTTATGCTGATAAATTTTTGTCTTCACATTAGGAATGCTAGTTTCAAAATGAGTTTGTAATCTAAAAGATTAAAAAGATCAGGGAATAAATTGCATATCAAACTGAATAAATCATAATATCATATTCAATATATATTTAACCAGATAGCCTGATTTTCCAAATGAATAAACTTAGCAGATTATGATATCAAACATAACACACATGTTCAGCTCAGCGATGCTGTCCACTGCTACCTTATTTCATAGGGAAAAAGAAAGTTCTCGTTAAGTCCAAAAACTTAGGAAAGTCAAACAAGTTTCATAGAACTATCTACTTACAAAAAGAGCGGAATAGTAGTTACAAATCAACACCAAGGTCATATAAGAAGATAATATAAATAAATGTTTAAAATGAAAAAAGCTATCCACAAAATAACATACCACTACCCTTATCATTCCTTGATGCTGAAGCAGAAGCATGTTCTTTTGATTGTATTTGACTTTCTGTGACAAGGGTATTCTCCAAATCAACCTTTTCTGTCTATATGATAAAGGAAAAGACATAAGAGTATTTCATTAGAGCAATATAAATGAAAAAGAAAAATTATTGCCGCAACTAAAAACCCATTAAGACTGTAAAGATAATAACTTTTAGGCTAAAGATCTAGCCAAAAAGAATAAAAAGAAACTTGTTAAATCTAGCTCATACATTTTGAACCATGCTTTTCAAAACAAAACTGATCTGTTTTTCACGTGTTTCATATGGGACTCATTGGAATCCAGGACAAACAACAATGTTTAATCGGTTTCATCCCATTTCAGTAGTTAGAACCAAACAATGGCATTTCAGGAAGTTTATAGTGATATATAGATGCAAGACGTCATAGAATGTAGAGCTCTTAATGAAACTAAATGATGAAATGTATGAAATCATATAAATAAATTTCATAGCTACATAGTTTTCAAGACCACCAATTAAAACAAAAAATTAAATTAAATTAAGCCTCACGGTCACGGCCCTCACCTCTCTGGCTCTCCCTCCATCTCTCGATCTCACGACTCACGCAAGAAGCAATGCGGAAAGCCTCACCTCTCTAGACGGAAGGATCGATTCAGCCAGTCACGCCGCATTCTGATCGGCCGGTTCTGCCTCCTGCAGCTCCAACCGACCCAAACACCTCATTCCTCAAGACACCCGGAAGTTTATAGTGATATATAGATGCAAGACGTTATAGAAAGTAGAGTTCTTAATGAAACTAAATGATGCAATGTATGAAATCATATAAATAAATTTCATAACTACATAGTTTTCAAGACCACTAATTAAAACAAAAAATTAAATTAAATTAAATTTAGCCTCACGGTCACGGCCCTCGCCTCTCTGGCTCTCCCTCCATCTCTCGATCTCACGACTCACGCAAGCAGCAATGCAAAAAGCCTCACTTCTCCAGACGGAAGGATCGATTTAGCTAATCATGCTGCATTCTAATCGGCTGATTCTGCCTCCTGCAGCTCCAACCGACCCAAACACCTCATTCCTCAAGACGCCCCCCCCCCCCCCCCCCCCCCCCCCCCCCCCCCCCCCGGGCCAACCCTGATCTTCTACCGCCAATCACGTCGTCGTCGCCTCCTATAGTAGCCTCCAGATCTATCGCCATCTTTTAGCCAAGGAGAAATCGCACTGACTGCGCCTGTTTAATGTTTTGTGGTTCGGGTCAAGTCAACTCGATAACTAGCGCGGGTCACGTCAACCCGATAACTCGCGCGGGTCGGGTCTTGGTTGGATTTCCTAACCCGTTTGCAAAAACGGGTCGGGTTAGGGTCAACCCGTTTAAACCTGGGTCAATCCGGGTTCGACCCAAACTTGACTCGCTGACCCATTTTGACACCCCTAAGTTAGATTACATCAAGGATCAGCTTTAATCCTATATATTTTTGCTTTAGTCATGGATGTTCTTATTAGACATTTGCAGGAGGATGTACCCTGGTGTATGCTTTTTGCTCGTGATATTCTTCTTGTTGAAAAGATTAGAAAGGGAGTTGAAGGTAAACTTGAATTATGGAGGTCAACCTTAGAGTCTAAAGGTTTTCTTCTGAGTAGATCTCAAACTGAATACATGGAATGTAATTTTAGTAGTAATAGATTTAAAAGGGAATTGTGACTTTGGGCGATCAAGTCATTAATAAGAGTATACGTCTTAGATATCTCGAGTGTATTGTTCAAAGCGATGGTGAAATAGATGGGGATATTATCAATAGAATTCAAGGTGGATGGTTGAAGTGGAGGAATGCATCGGGCCTGTTGTGTGATGGAAAAAGACCACTCAAACTTAAGGGAAAATTCTATAAGATGGTGGTGAGACCTGCAATGCTTTATGGTCCATTAAAAGAGACATATACAATTAAGTTAATTGTTGCAAAGATGAGGAAGCTCAGGTGGATGAGTGGCTTTACTCTTAGAGAGAAAATGCAAAACGAGTATATATGTGAAAAGTTTGGAGTAGCTCCAATGTCAAATAAGATTAGAGAGAGTCTCCTTAGATGGTTTGGTCACATAAAACGTCGGTCTTCCAATGACCCGGTTAGGAGATTAGATGCATGAGATTTGACCTATGTTAAGAAAGGTATAGGTATACCCAAAAAGACTTGGTTATAAAATATTAAAAATGACCTTTTTTATTAGATTTTTATGAGAATTGATTCTTAACGGGACACAATGGAGAAAAATGATTCATGTAGCCGATCTCACGTAGTGGGATAAAGGCTTATTGTTGTTGTTGTTGTTGTACCATGGATAATCTCAAAAAAGGCATGACAGCTTCAGGAAGTTTAATAGAATTCTCACACCCATTGTATAAATAAAAATCATTTGATAATAACAAGTTGCAATAAAACCAAAATTGTGAAATCCCTTAACTAGTGAAAGTTTTGAACTTTTCTTTCTTTTCATAGTAGAAAAGTACTTAATAATCTTTTAGATTTAGGTATAGCTCAATGCTTCTCCATTTAGTCTTCTAAGCAGAAAAGGATCTCTTACAGGTGTCACAATAATACAGATTGTAGACAACTTGTCACATTAATTTTTATAATTGCTAATAAGGCCAGGAAAGGTGCATATCTTACTTCGGTTGAAAGTTCACAATATAAAATACCACAGTAAGATCTAAGATATATGATCAATTCATGTAGAAAAATGATCAATATGTAATACATGTTGCGAACAGCATCTCACTGTTTAATATTACTAATTCTACATCTATCTAACAAAGTCACAAAAAACTTCACAGTCTACTCGAAATTTCAGAAGGGATAAAAAACTAAAAAAGCAGAAGATAACAACGTAATCAGTCAGACAAAATATTTCCTACAAAAAGGAACCTTTGAAACTCTAAAAATAGTTCTACAATGCTTAGCAAACAAAGCCATCCAGGTTTTTATTGTCAATGAAGAATGCACTGTTCTTAGAACAGTCATTAAGGATCTCACATTTCAGGACCAGAGACTCCTCGATTTCATACCTCTAGCTGCCTAAGGGTATCAGTAAGAAGCAACTGCTTCTGCTTGAGAATAGCAAGCTGCCCCTGCAGCGCCACGAACTCAGTCCTCATGATCTGCTCGCTATCCTGGATTGCCGCCTCACTCACCCCCTCCTCCTGCAACCTCTGCCTCAGCCTCTCCGTCGATACAACGAAGTTGTCCACGGGCGCCATAAGCTCGCTATTGGAGATCCTAGGGAACATTTCTTTCACCGCCTGCAGAGCCTCCATCCACGCCGCCCGATCCTCCCTGGTCTCTGCTCTAAGGTGTAGCCTCTTCGTTCCTGTAAATATCGAGAACCTTCTGTCGTCCGATCTGCTCTCCCTCACTGTCGCGACCTAAAAAGAATAAAGGAAGTATCCAAAAAAACAACATATCAAATTCAAATTCATCGAGAACGGAGAAAGCAGCAGGACGAATTTCAACGGATATTGCCTTAAGGTGGACTTCCCCAATCGGTCTGCGTTGGAAGGCGTTGAGGGAGTTCGATCCATTACGGCGATGACTTCTGACGCGGCGAAGCGAATCCTCGCCTATTAGCTTGGAGCCCTTATCGGCCTCCTCATGAAACTTGATGCGGTCGGGGCCATGGATCTTGTAATAGGAGAGGACCCCGTCCTGGAGGATGAACCATCGGGGACGCCAACCACGGCCGTAGTTGACCCACTTGTGGAGGATGCCTGCGATGCCGTTGCCAACGACGTCGTTGAGGCGGAGTTCAGCAGCATCGTGGAAAGAGATGCGGGTAGAAGAGAAGTCAGCGGAGAGATTAGCAACGCTCGGCCATCGGAAACCGTTACCACAGGCAGCGGAGGCCGCGTTGGCGGAGTGGGGAGGGGAGGTCGTTGGGGCGGAGCGAGTGCTGCGACTGTAGGGGAAGTGGAGGAGCAGTTGAGTTTGGTCGGATCGGGTTGGAGGAGGCGGCGGCGGCGACGGCGGCGGAGGAGGGGGCATCGGCGGCAGTTGTAAGGTTGACGAAGCACCGGCGACGGGAGAGACGGGAACGGGGGAGGCGCAGCAGAAGGGATGCATTCAGGGAGAGGGAAGACAAGATAGAGAGAGAGAGAGAGAGAGAGAGAGAGAGAGAGAGAGAGAGAGAGAGAGAGACGGTTAGGGATTGCAAAGACACGCGTGGTGTGGTGAGGAGAGGAGTAGCAGCGCGGAGGTCGGGATCATAAGGGCGGTTTTAATTCAATCTTGGGAGATCGAAATGAGGAGATGTAAAATTTGGAAATCTAGCAAAATGGCGAATTCGAAGGGAAGAACGGAAGAAATGCGAGGCATGAGAAGAGAAATAATAAATGGGGCTGGAGCGAAGAAAGTCGGCCAAGCAAAGGAAGGGGGAGACGAAGCCACTGGTCGTCATATTCTCGCCTTAACTTGAAGAAGACTTCAGCAGTATAATTTTGCGATTTGTTTGGATTATTGACATGCTTGCTTGGTAGCCCCTATAATCCTTGTAATTTCATATTTTAAAAGAATAGATTGATAATTTACGCGCAAGCCCTTCTGCTGCTGGGCTGCTCTCTAAAACCAAGTGTAGGTTTTTTTTTTTTTTGGGTTTTTTGTTTTTATATAAATTAGGGCTAACGCCCAAGCACAAGTAAAATTATCTTATGCGGATATAGATATCATTCGTAAGTGAATCAGAACGTGTCATGTCACTCATTTATTATGTACTGTGATTGTGTACCACTATGTATCAAGTGATGTAGCGGGTTCCGATTCACCTCCGGACAGTTCAGTGTCCGCATTGCGTAATTTCTTAAACACAAACACTATATATATGTCAGACTTAATCAATGACCTCTTAGTTGAGAGTCAAACTCTTAACCAGCAAACCAATGAGAGTTGCATAATATAGGCTGTCTCAATTTGTTCATGTGAGCTCGATTCTAGTTTTATATTACTTCACTTTGGATGATTTTTTTTTAATGCTCTGGATCGCATATAACTCTCATATGATCCCAAAGTTTTGTGATTATTTGGGAAAGTTCGATCATGTGCATTTAGATTTCCTTTATAAACTGATTATATGCATGCAACAGAAGGAATGTGATATTAATTCTTTAGTTTTCTTTCTTTTTTTGTGTTTTTGAGACATTTGAGTCAATTAAGGCAAATTTGCACACACGTGACATATGCAAGTTTCAAACCCAAAACCTTTTTGTTGATAGCCAAATCTCTGAACCAACAGATCAAGATGAGATGTGTATGCTTTAGTTATATAACTATTAGATTACATTAGAATGCATACGGGACTAAGAAACATTGAATGCAATTTTTTACTATTGATTAATAGATCTTGAAGAAGTTTGTTATAATAATCTACTTAAAACCTATTGGCACAAATATTGAAGCCAGAATTTATTTGATCATTCTAGAAGCATAATTTTTAGCACAATCTTTTGATGATAAAATGTTTGAGCTTTGTATACTCCAATCTCATAATAAATCATAAAGCCCTCTTATCAAATAGAGTATATAATATAATATATTCGTATATTTTTTAAAGAATGATGTCTCCCTACCGGAAAATTATTCTGTGTGGAATCTGAATATGTTCAGAGGTGAATCCGGGCATACCACATCACCGGGGCCCAGTGCATCCAGTGATGTGGCACGCCCGGATTCGTCTTCGAATACATTCAGATTCCGCACAGAATAATCTCTCCTCCCTACATTTAGATTGTCAATGAACAAATTACCTCTCCTCCAACTCACATAAATATCCATTCAAGGCATCGAGATAAAAGAAAATTACCCCATTATGTGAAGGCTCTCTTATAATCTTTATGAATTCATCTTTATTTGAAGTTCAAATACTAATTGAGGCATCAACATGGTTTCATGATAAACCCTTCCTGTAGATAGCCTCACTCTTAATTTTTAACAGTTAAATGAGAGTATGAAGAGATTTGAAGATAGAGATGGCCTTATTTGGTGCACTAAACTTGGATAAATCATCTTTTAAAATGTATTAGATTGCACTACATATGAGAAATACACCACCAACTTAATAAGCATTACAACACTTTTAAATTACCCTTTTCTTTCCTTACCATGGATGGTCAACACCTAATAATCCTATATGGAATTATTCTTATATAAATAGTCTTGATTATTATGAAATGGTTCAAAACCAAAACTTGCACCAAAATCACTCTAGATGGCAAGGAAGCACTACGACTTGAGGAGAATGCCCGTTGTAAGCCTGCAATCAAGAAAACTCAACCCCCACCCCTATTCTTCATGCATGATTACATCCATCACTCAAGAAGAATCTAACAACCTCTCTGAAGCGAAACTAAAGTCATCATTTGTTTGAAACATTTCCTCATCACTTAAGGAGAGCACAATATCATTGCTTAGGGGTTAAAGTGTTATAGTGGTCTTTAAAAAATTGATAACTAGTCCAATATCCCTTGAAACCACTACTTTATCTATAATGCCCATATTATTTTATTGTAAACATAAACATATTTTACAAAAAGAAGATTGTACCACCTCATTAAGGAAGAAATTGGATTTGGTGAGCAAGTGCGCATTGGTAATCTAGAAAAACATAAGTGAATACACTTTCTTCATGCTTTAAAGCTTTCATCATAAAATTTCAATAAGATTTAAGATTAATTCAATTGAACTTTATTATTAGTCAACAAAAGTTCATGAGCACCTCATTTATATTTATATTTCCACACCATTTCTAAAGAGAAGAAGAGTCCAATTTTTATCAAGTCTTCCCTAGAACCTTTAAAGGACGAGTGTGGTTCTACTCACTCTCACATAATTCCCTTCAAAATGTTCAGTAATGGGCAAGGATTTTTATTGATTAATTTAGGCCCATGAAATGTGTGATGCTCCAGAATCAAATTTATAAGAATTATCTATTTTATCTTTTTAAAAATATATCAGAGCTTCTATAAATTATCAATATAAATAATAACCAATAAAAACAACTAACAATTATATACCTCAAAATATTGCACCATATTCATTCTCCTAAAATCAATATGTAATAGTTAGGATATCAGTATAATCACTAATCTATCATAAGCTCCTAACTACAAAAGAATGAAAAGAAATGCATAACAAAATCTAAAAAATAAATTGAGGATCTCTGTCAACCTCACTCCAATTGGTCCTAACCCATTCCCTGATCTATCATAAGCTCCTAACATTGATCATGGCTTCAACTTATACCTCTTGTCCAAGGGGGTTGGAAAGCTATGCCAAAGGCTGGGAGAGCTAGAACGCCATTGGATGGCCAAACATAGGGGGGTCCACTTTTTCCTCCTTAAGCTAAGCCGGAGATCATGAACCCTAATAAAAATATTCTTTTGAATTTGATGCGTTGATTGAATGAAATTTATTTATAAACTTCATAGATATATACTTGTAGGTGCAGAACCCCGAAGTATTGATCTTAATTTAAATCATCATTCCATTTAAAAATGTATAATTTTAATATATAAAAAAATTATTTTCCTTGAATTCAATTTTCTGTTATAACTTTTTTTTTTCACAAAACTTTTTGAAACAATTTAAATAATTTGGAGAAAATTTTCCCCCAAATTTTAAATAATTTCCTCTCATTTTTATCCTATAAATATCCCATTGAGGCAAGAAAAAAATTTCCCATTTTTCTCTCCTGTCTTCACCCTCTAACTTTCTTACAGTTGATGCATTCCGTTATTTTTTGTCGATGGTATTCCCAACTCAAATTCAATGTCCCTCTCTTATGTAGAAATTAGAATTTTTGGTCTTTCTCTCCTTTACTTCCTTAAATTTCTTTTTACATTAGAGGTATTTCACTATTTGAGATAAACGACATCCTCCATCAAGCTTCAGTGCCTCTCTTTTGTATGGATTGAGCTTTCTCCTCCCTTTTTTCTTCTCATACGTTCTTCTTCTTACATTAAATGCATTCCACTGTCTAAGATAGGTGGTATCTCCTATCAAGCTTCAGTGCCCCTCTTTTGTATAGAAAAGGTCATGATGAAAGATTATTTTATTAATAGACAACACTTGATAGAAGAAGATCAATTGATGCTTGCATGCAATGGCGATTTGAGAAGATATAGTGATAATAGTACTTGGGAGGAGAACCAGGGGTTATTAATAGATGGGAAAATTTTGACGCTGTTTGAGCAAAAATTTGTTGATGATCGACGATCGAGTGGAAGTTTGATGTCAATCGATGGTTCGGTGGAGAGCCGAATGAGACAATTGGAGGATGAGTTGCTAATAGTAGTTGAGCGAGAAGCAATGATGGTTGATATAAGGTGAAGGGTTAACATTGGACAACGGGTGAAAGGCTAATGATGGTGGGTGTCAAGTAGGATTTTGCTAATAACATGCTTTGACATATTGCTAAATTATTTATGCATTTTTTAGACATGCTTTGATATATTGCTCCATATATATATTTTGAGGCTTTTTAGTCTACTAAGGTCTTCATATATGTGATGACTTTATCAATCATTTATTTTTAAGGAATCTTTTTAGAGGAATGTTGTCCACTCAAAGCATTGCTCGATGATATTGACCTATGTGAAATAGGTCCAGAGAATCCATCAAATATGTATAACTTATTCGAGGTTGTATGTCAGAGCGTTGTTCGATGATGTTAACCTATGTGAAAGAGGTCGAGATAATCCACCAATGATGTATAACCTATCTGAGATTATATATCAAAGCATTGCTCGATGACGTTAACCTATATTGAAGAGATCGAGAGAATCCACCAATGATGTATGACCTTTCTGAGGTTATATGTCAAAGTACTGCTCGATACATTAACATATATTAAAGAGGTCGAGAGAATCCTTCAATGGTGTATGTCATATCCAAGGTTGTATGTCAAAGTGCTGCTCGATGACGTTAACCTGTATGGAAGAGATTGAATCAAATCCTCTTGGGATAAATTTTTCCTTGATTAGGAGAGGGTGAACGCCGCGTATATCCCGAATCAAATGTGAAGAAATATTTATCTTTAGAGTGTTACTGTCTTTTTAAGGTTGAGATTAAGACATTGTCCAAGGAGTAGAAGCCCAGCTATGGATAGTATAAAACTTGAAGTTTATTGGAAGTATTGTTACATTTGCTAGAAGCTTTATTATCCAAATATATCGTCTTGGATATTGAAAGAGTTGAATGAATCTTCTTGACCATGACTGTAGTCAAGGTTTCCCCCCAATCTACATTTAATTACCATAAAATTGACGCGGAAATAGCTGTTGTTAGAACATTAACACGAACAACCTTTTGAGGTTGGAGCAAAAACTGCCCCCACCCCCCTCTTAAATTAGGAACTATGTTCCCACAGACGACGCTAAATTATTGGGTCCTAGAATATTCGTCGTGGTAGAGAAATATAAAGTTTAATGTTTTAGCTTTGTACAAAGATCAAACACGCAAT